ACCAATACTACAACCACACACCATTTTAAGACAAGAGAATGAGTCATCTACTTTTAACCTACAGCCAAAGAATCTGGAGGCTTTTCCAAAGATAAACACCAGGTGGCGCCATCACAGTTTTTACGTCACCTCTAAGTGTTAGTGGGCAACAACACAGTGGGTGGAGCAGTCCTAAAACAAGGATGGATGCAAACGCTCCCATGTTACGCCCAACACTGCTTGAATACATAAGACCCTGACATCTCTTTATCTTATTTGATACAATAATGGAAAGAGGTCCCCCAACTAGATGACTCACAATACATCATGCACAAAAAGAAAGACCCAGCCATAAGAGAATTCATTGCGAATGTTAAGAGTTTTCCAGGGGCTGTCACCCAAATGCAAATAGGTTATAGAAACAGGAGTGGGTCATCACAGCGACAGAGGTCCAAGACAGAGAACAGGTCACAAACTTCCAGACGGTCTGGATGACTCTGTTGATATTGCTGGAAGTTTGGTGTCAAATCAAGCAGGTGCAATCAACCATATGGCTGGCCCAAACAGACTCCCAAGAATGAGGGAATAGCCTATAACCAAGTCACGGTGATTGAGGAGGGGTGCCCAAACAGTCGTTTGTTTTGTTTCAGGGATAGAAATTCAGCCTGAGACATTTTTGATATATATTAGTGCCGCTCTTAGTAACAATCCTCAGAAAAAAACTGAGCCAAGTCGAGTAGCTTCAGACTGCAAACAAAGCTAAAATCGCGACGTTCTGGCAGAAAACATTGACGTTAGATTTAGGGTTCAGGGGGCAATTCTCCCTTGGTGTTTATCACAGATTTAGATCTGGCAACACTGGGACGTTGTAGAAAGATAGAAATTTCTGGTTGTCACTGAAATAGAATTCGAGTTACATAAAAGACCAACAAAGTCATGTCACTTCTCTGAATTTGATACAAACTCCCCCAGTAACAACTGCCGAATTACAGGATGCACTAGCGGAATTTCCAAACCTAACCAAACCGGACCATCAACCTTCCAAAAGTAAACTGGAGGTGATTCATGCGATCGAAATTGAAGGAGCATTTGTGTATGCTAGACCCAGGAGACCAGCACCAGATAAGTTTAAAGTCGCTAGAGACTAGTTCGACTACGTGTTACTGCCGGGTATTATACGTCCGTCCTACAACCAGTGGACATCCCTTTTGTATATGGTCCCAGAGAAAAATAAAAGCGATTGGAGACTGTACGAAGATTACAGATCCCTCAACTATCAGACAGTACCAGATGTGTACCCACACTCTATATCCAAGATTTTACAAACGGCTTTCAGTGTATGAACATATTTACTGGAATTAACTTGATCAAGGCATATCATAATGTCCCAATAGCTGAAGGAGATATCCCTTAGACAGCTATTGCCACACCCTTTGGACTATTAGAGTTTTAACATGCCATTCAGTCTGAGAAACGCGGTATCATCACTTCAAAAATCCATGGACAACTTCGGGATACACTTTTTGCACAGGGGTATATAGACGATTTGTTAATTGACGGCCCGAACTCAAAATCATGCGAACAGCACGTGAGAGCAGTGTCGAAACGGCCAAATGAAAATGTAATATACGTATATCAGAGTGTGTTTTCATTATTCATGCTCCAGAATTCCTCGGACAAATAATAAGCTCAGAGAGGATTACACTAATCAAAGAAGAGGTGGACACTTGTAAGCAATATCCCATATCAATTTATCTAACTTAACTGTTGGGGACGTCAGATCTCCAGAATTCACTTGGGAAAGGACCTAATTTTGCAATTTCATTTGGAAAATTTGAATGTATTTGTTTTCGCACCAAAGGAGATCTTGTCACCATCATGTCGCATTTTCCACTGGGAAATATATTAAATGTTATTGGTCAGTTGCGTCTTTTAGCATGCTATTTGCTAACTCTCTACCAAGGACGGTTTTGTACTGTATATATACGTCTTAACTTGTGTTTGTTGTTATCGCTCGTTTGTGGCAGTTTGCAGGATATACTTCCCCATTCCAAGCTTGAACTTCTTCCTCTAGTTAGCGGGACTGGGACGCATCAAATAGCTAGCTTACTGATCTTTGGTCACCGAGTCATTGTTCTCGTTTTCAGATTAAGTGAACTCGTGATAGCTTCAAATCTAGCGACAACATAAAGTTTCTCTGGGTTTAGTTAACTTTTATCATGGATTCATACCTAGTTGTGTACAATCACGACAAACTTTGAATGATTCACTTAAGGGAAAACCAAAAGGACCTGGGTTGACTTTTGAGGCTCTTGAGGGTAATAAACAGCCAAAGAATAAGCTGACCCAAGCATCTACGTTGAAGCATCCGCATTCCCATCCCCCACTCGCTTTTATGGTGGATTCCTTGGACAAAGCATTGCGTGGTTTCTATTACAAACTGGTTTAACACGCCTATAAATTGACCGCGTTTTTAAAAAAACTCGCATCAACAGAGACGAGATATTCTACCTCCGGACGAGAACTCACAAACTACCTAATCATTAGGCATTTCCGACACATGTTGGAAGGCAGGGAATTCATAGTTTACACGGATCATAAAGTACTAACTAATGCATTAGAAGCTAGAACCGGTAAATTTTCCCATTGGTAGGTCTGACACCTTGACTAAATATCACAGATCACGAATGGTATTCGATATGTCAAAAGTCAGGAGTTAGGTGGCCGATGCATTATCTCTGCTAGAAATGAAAGAAATACTACAGTAAGTTTTGAGGCGTTGAGACAACCAGATAGAGGATCAAGAATTGCAAAACCTACGTACAGCAAAGAACTCTAATTTTAAACTGAGATAGCTACTATCACCATCATCGATAATCCACTGCTATTGGATAAGTAAATCCGTTAAACGAAGGTTTATTCTATTCTTCTTACGAGCATTTGAATCGTTCAAAACGCTTGACTTTAATAGTACAGAAAGGTAGCAAGACAAATGAATGTAATATAAAATGATAAAATGTTATAATAATCATACAGCAACGCTACACGAATCGTTTCATAATGGATGTGACATGGTTAGTTAGGGCCGTCTAACATCCGGTGTCTGGGGAATGAGACTTTGTGGTGTGTTGCTGAGAGAAATAATAGTTTGCGATTAATGTGTCTTTTGTCCCGCTTTTGTGTGTTTTCGCGAGCTTAGAGTTAGAACAAGCATACTATAAAAAGTGAATCTCTGTCGTAAATCAGTCCGAAAAATCAAACGCAAATGTATGTAGGTATTTTTCAATATTAGAAACAATTGGTTGATAGAAATTGAACGCTGAGTGTAAAGAAGATATGACATATAAAAATAATATTTGAAATAATCTCAGCTATTGAAAATTTAATAATTCCAACGTTTAGTACAGCGAAATTGTCCGGACTTCTTTGGGGTAATAATCAAAATCTAAACGACGTATATAGTCTTTAACCATCAAATCAAATCCTTACTGTGCTTATCCAATCATATTTGAGTGTTGACCTTAGTAAATAGGATCACATGAGTCAGTTATATGAGAATTATGTGAAAACGTCACAGTGTGAAGGCAATTAAATGAATGGCGGTGTGTGCATATATGTGCACTTTTGAGTTACTAATAGTTGACATTAAGTGTTAACTTGTTCTATATGAAATAAAATAAAGGGGTAAACTGAATGTTGAAATTGTTTTTGGACCATCGATGTGTATGTAAAATGAGAACCACCAAATACATAATTGTAGTGAGAAAATATTCCAATCAATTTCCGTCAGAAAAACGATGCATGTGAAATAAACAGGTTGGGTAGGGATGGGGTCCAATGATTTGGTAATAAACACTTGCCATGTGATGGCTGGTTGAATATCATTTTTTTCTGTTCAGATTAATCGTATTGGTTCATGTGCACACTGCTTCTGCTTTCACTTTTCCTTTATGTGTGCCGAAACCTTTCTGAAGTATTTTGGTCCCCTCCAAATCGATCATGTGTCTTGCTTCCAAAGCATGTAACTCTATCTTCGACCTATTCTAAAGGTTCTTCAGATCATACCAGGCTTTGAGAACATTTTCAAGCATAGTCTGTGCTCCTTCAAAGTTGCATTTAATTGTCTGGAGGTTTCTTTCATACAAGCCGCATTACAATTATGACAATTAATCTCATACACAACATTCTGTGTTCTTCCTCTGGGAACATATTCCTAACTTTCATTAATGCTGATGTTTATAGCGTCAATAGCCCAAAAAGTCACTCTTATATTATGTTTGTTTAGAATCTCTTTAGTTTCTTCCGACGTATTTCCACGGTACGGAATGATCACTGTGGTCTTCCAATCTTTCAGCATATACTGTGGTTTACTTTCTCTTTTACTTCCAATAAACTTGTATAAGAACTCTTAGGGGAAATTGCTAGTCTTAAGCGTAGAGAAAATTCTGTTCAATTCAATCTGTTGGCCTCTGTTTTTTGCATTGAGATTGACACTCCAGTTAACTAAAATTTTACTGCTGTGCCTATCGTACAATATGCGTAGGCCGAACCGTAATCTGATTTCCGGAATACATTTATTTTCAACTTGTTATTATGTCTTCTTTGCAACGAACAATCGAGAAGTGGTAGTTTGTGGTCATTGGACTCTATTTCTTAGGTTATTTTAATGCCTTCCAGAATGTAGTGCATGCCTATCACCCTTGAAAATTTAATCAGACAATCAAAACCGAAGCTCAGCACTTCATTTATAAACCCATTATTTGACTTCAGTTTGATGGGATGATGATGTTTGCGAAGCACATACCCCTCTCAACCTCGTTTGTGTTCGCCGACTCAACTCGCATTAGTAAATCACGGAATGAAATAAGCTGAATGTGAGAATGATTCCCAAGTAAATATATTTCATACACCCGTTGACACAGATAGACAATGAAAGAAAAGAATCCGACAAGAGATGGCAAATGTGCCAACAAAAATATTACTCGTTATAAGCATCGATATAACCCGAAGGAATATGTTGTATCACAAGTGACCTTGGCGCTCGTAGTGACATTTTGAATTCGAAATCTAGAGGTCGCGTTTGTTTCTCTCGAGATGAATCCCATCATCTTTGATGATGTAGCCAATTCTGTATTCAAGCTACGGATGTATCCGTATTTTGATATTGCTAATTACATCTTGATGAGTATATCTGTAAAAGAAGATACTCCTCAATCAGGTATGTACTTAACTTCCTGTATTATGTGTAGGCTCTCTAAGTTTCTCGAGACGTCACCCATTTTCGTGCTGGTTAGCCACTATGCTTATGTGTTTTGGAGGGGCCATCCTTTCTAACTTCATCACAGGTTCGCCTCTGTTCGAATGTTTTGATGACACAATCTCCGTTTTAACGGCTACTGTTGTATGGTATGTTTTTACTTTGTCTATAGTTTTTCTTAGGTATCTCATAAATTATTTCCCATTTGATCTTCTGTATCGACTCTGCAAAATACTACCTGTTCGACTACTGGTGTGCTCATTAAAGGAGGTTCAGAGAGCGAAGAAGATTTTCATTGGTGTACATCATGGTCTTCATCTGTTCCCAAATTCGCCTGTGATGTGTGTTCTCCTAGGTCTTTTGAAGGGTGAGTATTGCAAGATGAATGATACATCTTTATATCCAAACTGATATTTGTAGGTGTTGGTAGTCTATATATGCGTCCTGTTTCGAATTATGTCTTGGGTATCTGGGATCGGAAAAGCAATCCATTTATAATTGTCAACTTGTGAGTCAGGTCTTGTTTTAAGTGTTTATTAAGTCGGACTTACGTTGGGAACTTCTTGGTTCTGTACACGAAGCTGATTCTAGCCATTTAGATAATATGGATTCTGTTATATAGCTCTTTAGGATAGCATATATATTTGGTGCCCTCTTGTACCAATATTTATGTGTTCAAATAAATACCTAAATACTTTTAGGATAGCATACGTAGATGATTTAATTCACACTTAACTAAACACCAACTTCTTGATGTGTAACCTGGAACAAATATAGACTGCCCAGTTCATCCTGACAAACTGTATTCCTGCTTTGATTCCAGGATTATTAATGAGGTGCATATGATTTTGCGTAGAAACTGAGAAACAATGAGGAAGTTTGCTCGCTTTGCTTTTTTCTGGTTAGTTTTAGCAAATTTTTGATCCATCGTGCATTTTCCTACGTCAAAACCTGAAATGTGTATTTTAAAGGACTGATGGTAAATGTGGAGTAGGTTTTCGGAATCTCGCTAGGTACCTGTCAGTGTTTGGCTGGATGACCTTTCATAGGTTGCTGAAGAAGTTCATGATTGATATGGCTCTTGCTCAGTAGTATGCCTCTAAAAGAATATGGGGCTCATCTCTGTTTAGGTCGCCTTTATATTTATCTACATTAATTAGCCAGTCATAGTCACTAAGTGCACCTGCTTCACTGCAGTTGATTCTAAACAACGTCATACAATGTCACCCGCTATTGGTTATGACAGGTGCACAGACCCGTCAGGTAGTGTGCACTTATCAACACGACTCAGTCCAACATTCAAAGACTTCATGTATTGATGATACATCTAAGCTTGTCCTTTGACTTTCAATCCTCATTGGGTTTTTGTTTTTTGTTAACTGTTTAGGTAAATGTATACTGTACTAACAACATTAAACGACTTATCAACCGGTCAGGAAAGTGTTTTCAGTTATATAGCGATTTATAATATAAGTAATAAATTGAGATGAGCATTTTGGACATGATTAATTAACATGTACATAATCAACTATTGATTTCAGTAAACGAATAAAAGGTGAGGGCTAAGAACTAGCAGTTGAATTAGGGTTAGGAATTAAGATCCGGGTTCTCACAATTGATGACCAGCTATAATATAAGAACGGTTTGTAGCCTTATGGATGTATGAATTTTGTTTAAAAGTTTAAGGGGCATTTTAAATCTGACTAATCCGTCCATAGGGTATGGTACCACCACCCTATCTTAACTGTGATTGGTTTGTTAGTATAGTATACTTTTACCACTTGGTGCAACATTACATTGATCTTCATTATGTGTAATTCAACATCTAATGTTTCCCTCAGGTTGTTAGTAAGTAAATTAAACCATTAGGACACAACTTGATAAGTTTTTTTAAAAAATTATACCAAGCGACTATCTCATTTACTTCATTCCACCAAGCACTTAACCTAAAGCGTCTAATAAAATTCAGCTTAAAAGCCTACATTTAACCAAAAGATTCAAACCAGTAGCTCATTTATCAGTGCGAACTTTTTGTAAACATCTAAAAGTATCCATTCTACTGCTTGGGCTGTCAAAAAGATAGCTCAGTATCAATCACTCTTCGTCTGTCTCTAGATTTCAAGTTAAATTAATTTGCACTTCTTATTCCTCGAATTCCTTCCAGAAGCATATTCTTCATGTCTAATGCTTTTTGTTATCGTTGATACCATTGATTTGGTACTCATCTTGATAATTTGATCTTGGACAGATATGGCCAGTTAAACTGATGGAAATTTGCACTAAGTTCTATGCTGTTTATGACTGACAGAAAGACAAAGATATTTGGCTATATGAACTCAATTACCATTCAGTCCACAACTCAGTGTTATCTAATAACTGACTGCAGTTTTTAGATAGTTAAAAACCAACAATGTTGAGTATGAATGATTGCTGTTATTTATTAAAGTGGTACGCGACCCTGACAGTCATAATGTCGCGTAAGTCATTTATGCAGACAGATTAGTCAGGTCTGTAAAACACAAAGATTTGGGACTTCCAAAGTTGGAAATAATGTCTTGTGTGTGCCGAACTAGATGATTTGTGTGTAAATTTTTCAGTCAAAGTATCAACTTTAATTAGTGTAAGTAATGAAAAGTAGGAGCTGAATAAAGTAATATATGTTCAGGGAAAGTAATTCGTCATTGTATTTTACTTTGGAAAATGAAGGTTGTTTCACATTGGTTCGGTCAGTAAGTTTCTGATCAGTTGACGACGGATTCAAACTACTTTGCTCATTGGGTTTAATAATGAAATTGGATCCTTATCTTTAACTTATTTTTTATGACTAGTAAACTATTGTGCCATCGTGGTGTATAGTTTGGGTTATTATTGATGTAATACTTCAAAAGGCTTAAAATTATGTACTTTCTTATTCGTGTTTTTTTTGCGTTTCCTATTCTTTTTTTATCAAACTAATCTTTACATAGTTGGAAATGAAATCATGAAACGATACATTTGATATTCCTTGATTGTATCATTGAAATAGACAAATAAACTTTAAGGGTTTTCAAGTATTATTACTAAATTTTGACTTGATAATTTCATATAAATTAAGCTTTCAGTGGGTTGTTTATAGTAAAGTAATCTATTTATAACATCGCAGTGAGTAAGCAAATTGAATTTCTGACATTTCACGACTTAGTATAGGGAAATTTTTCAGAGAATAAATAAACGAATCGACAAAATTTTTTACTCATTGGGATATTATCAATATGTTGTTATTTGAAAGGTTTTGTTACTCCTTATTTGTTAGTCTTTCTTGACCTACTTTGTTTTTATATATCATAATACATCCATTCCTATTGATTTCTCCCGTTATTACTAAACATGGCAATTTTTAAACCGAACTCATTCTACTACTTATCATAATCATCAGTCAGAGACAGGGTTCAAGGTTATTTTTCAACCGACCAGGTAGCAACTAGTCATCCACTAGCATAAATATTCACTATATATCGAGTCTAAATTCGACCTCTAATATATAGGCTGGGAATTTGAGTGGATTGATAAATTAGCTTTATTTCTCGTCGTCGTATGCTCTTACCGTAGCAAACATTGAATAATTTGACGGATAATTTTTTCATCGGAAGAAAGCCGCTCCCTCTTAGTAAATAGTGATGAAACCACGTATCATAATAATACATGATGTTCATTTCAAAAATAAAAAAAGCTTCTAGAGAGCTATTCAATCATTCAACTATGCATGAACCAAAACTTAATGAGCTGCTAGATAATGTACAGGCATGTTACATTCCTACTGTTTGGATGTATATATAGCATCGTGATTACATGATATATCACTATTGACTATATCGGTGTTCAAAAAAGAATCACTAGATATACTCTGTTATTGTTGTTGTTTTGCCTATATCCCATTTACCATTCATCCTTTTTTTCAATAATATAGGTGCAGGTTATTGTGAGATGAAATTAATACAGCGTCTTGTTCGTGGTGTATGGCTACCAGCAACTAATGAATTTCTCCATCCCACTTTGTAAGATTTAGTTTCTCTAAACAACGCATGAATTTCTGCATGGATCTACATGGAATGGAAGATGTTTTAGCTCTTAGTAGTTTATAGTTTATTCCTCCTGATTCCTAGATACTATTTAATTATTTCTATTTTGTTTCTCTATCAATAAAATGTTTTAGCACTACAAAAATTTCGTTACTTGCTGCTATTGCATATTATTGTCATCATTTGGATATAATACCGTTACCGGAAAATCAATTATTCCTAGTTATAATGATTTTGTTTGTTTACCTCAGGTAAGCTAATAACGTTCATAGTTCATTGTTTTACATTTTATGTCAGTATAATTCGTTTTCAGTGTATTTTTTCTAGTGTGAAATTCTCACTCCCTCCCTGTATTTTTTTTGGAAAACTTTGTTTTTAATCATTTTTTCTTATTTGCTTAATATTTATGATTATGAGGAAGTGCAGTTACCTCAACCAAATTTTCATATAACATTTGCACACATTCAAGTTCTTCATTTTGGTAAACATTATACAGAGGTTAAATGGTATGTTAGTGAGTGAATAAAACATTTGTATACAATTGTTTAGTTTAGAACTGATATGGTTGACATTATAAATCCATTCTCTAAATTCCAATTTTTTCTGTATGGGAATTTGGGAAATCGTAGTATTTTAACATTCGGAATCACGAGTCGATCTAAGCTAGACCACCATTCAAAACATTGACGGCCGTTTCGTCTCAGTATGGGACTTTTTAGCAGTGAGCATCCACAATCCCGCACGCGGGACTCTAACACAGGACCTTCTGCCTCGCGCGTGAACTCTTAACATCTTGACCACTGAGCTGGCATCTAACAGTGTTAATGTCTAACTTCAGTCGATCTATGATATTTGCAACCCCTTCATCCATTGTCTGATGTGGATTGATATATCAAATTGCTTTGATCAAAGGTTTGTTACCCTAGTGACTAACTTGTTTGTTCTTTTTCTTTCGAAATAATTCATATCTTAATTGTATATAAAAATGAATTCTTCAAACTCTATATTTTTACGACATGTGTCCTATTCTATACAAATGTGTCTAAAAACTTACTATTTGTCTTGAAAGGTGTGTTGAATTATCGAATATCTTGGAAATATTTATCATATGAATATATAATTACAATGTTGAATTTTGTTTCAGAGATATTATTGTAATGAACGAACACTCAGATGGGAAAGATCAATTTATCGTTTAATGTAAAATTATAGATTGCTTTCACAAAATAAGAAAACCCTACATTAGGTACATTATTTGCACATTTTCCATCAGTTGTCCTTTTACATGATTTCTGATTCTTTCAATTTCGTTGTTATTACAATTCTTTTCTATTCCCCTCTTCTATCTTTCTTTTTATTCTCAATTTAATCTTCCCAATGTTTTACAGGCATACATTCCATTTCCGATTGTGTTACATACTACATATATTTGTCAACATAAGCAGCATACACCATATATTTCCAAAGTTCAATGTAGAAAAATAAATCTAGTAATGTTAGTGTAAATAGTATTGAAATATTTTTCATTTTCAATAGCTTAAGTATTCATTTGAGTGTTCTAATTTCAAAAGTTATTACTTTCAAAAAAGACTTGTAACATTATGCTTATATCTTCAAAAAGCACTTATATGAAGTTCTATAGCGGGTTATTTACTTGAAGTTTTAACATCAATATCATTTACCGATCGTTTTGAACTGTGTGATGAGTATCTGATGACATCACAGAAGTTTGATCCAATTACTGAAGTGTTTCATGTATTTAGTACTTAATGATGATCGTTTAGCCTAATACATTCAGAAGTATGTGAATTAAAACTTTATATGGCAAGTTTAATTGTGCATGTGATTTGCAAACGCTCTTTGTGATATATGTTTTTCTACTTACATTATTTAGTTTTTATCTGATTCATTAACAGTTGTGCATGATTTTTGTAGTAGTAATCTTAAAGTATCTGTATACTTCTTCATTTTCAGAATTACTATGATTCTACTGGGTTTAAAAGATCCATTTGTACCATTTGAGAATGCTGTTTGTAAGCTGTTGTTTGGTGGTACTGTCGACGCTATTCGTAGTGCTTTTGAACGTAGTCGTAGCAAGGCATCTGAAGCTATGCCTTCAAACTTGTCAAATGTTAGCGGAACAACTTCATCATCAACGGCCAATATGACTGGGAATGCAAATTTCTCTTCAACTGGTACGGGAACAGGACAAAGCGGTCAAGGTTTACCTAATAGTAATGCAAACAGTTTCAATTCAAGTGGTCTACGTGACGCTGCCAATCGTCAAACACCATCTTCAGGTGATAAGAAACGTGACTAGTATTATACTAAACAAAATATTTTGTAGACTTACCTGTTTTATCTGTCACCTCTAAATGCTTCTTTCTTCAAGGGAATATTATCCATATTCCAAAATTCATACCTTAGTTGGGTATGCTATGTAAATTAGATCTCTTCTTTCTATATGTCCTTGCATTTATCCATGAATGTTCACATGATGAGCATAGTTAATGTTTGTTTCTAGATTGATTTGTTGTTCAGTTAAATGTTAATTTTTTCATTATTAAATTATACATTTCACATAACTATTGTTTTATGCACCTTCTATACTTTAAGTCTTATAGTTCCACAATTCGTTTCGTCTCTTTTCTTGTATTGTGGAACTAAAATACAAATCAGTTAAGTGTAGTAAATATACGCCTACATGTACGTTCCACTGTGTTTCGTCTTTTTTTTTTAAATTTCTTCACCCTTTCCCACTAGTTTCCTGTAACACTGAGCCTTTATTTCACAAACTGTTCTATTCTTGTTGTTATTCTCTTTGTAATTCATTTTGCTTACACTTTTAATTACCCAATTTATCAGTTGTTTTTCCAATCCTTTATCCCTTCCCATATCTATCCCATTCTTCCTAAATGTATCTCTATACTTTACTATTACTATACTCCTCAAGGCCTTATTTAAAATTAAGATTAGCTTGATTGTTCGATAGAATTTCAGTTTTTTGTCTGTTTATTCTATAAATTGCAAATTTGTATAAAATTCAGTTTTTATTTTTAGAAAAATAATACTGTTACATTATATATGATAATAAGGAACTTGGTTATTAGACTGGTATTAAATGTGAAGAATGTTATACTCTTACAAAGTGTGGATCGTTAATCTGAATAAAGTTGATCCAACCTATTTAGTTAAATATAACCTAGATTATGGCATGAGTATACAAATCGACTAAGGTACCAAACTTGATATCGGAAAACAAGAAGAAATTAACTAGGCTAAATGTTGAAAAGTCGATATAATGGTTCTAAGTAGCAGAGACGATTACATGTGTTAAGTGTAATTATAGGAAAACGTATGAAATCAGTGGAAATGGAAAGTATGAATAAATAGCGAAATTCGAAATTTATCACTCTGAGTTCTAGACGATAACGAGTGGTGTCCGAAATCTGATATCGATACACGACGTGCTACATGCTAAATCCCCACTTGACTACTTGATTGGGGACGTAAGATTGGACAGAAAAGTATGTTGGGCTACCGAATAAAATGCACAAATACTCAAGCACCATGGCGGACCAACTCATTCATATATATATATATATATATATATATATATATATATATATATATATATATATATATATATATATATATATATATATATATATATATATATATATACGTCTTAGAAAACCAGTCCATTTCTTGGTATGCATTTGTCCTTCGGGTCACTTCTGACTACCATTGATTGGCATTTGACCACTCCCGATTGGCTCGCCATCTTAAGACTTCAAATTATGATCATAATACGGACCTCACTTAGGTATGACGCATCTCGCGTTACGGGCTTAACCCAACTGCCAGCAATTTCATAAACTGATCTGTCCATTCAACTCCATTCTAAATATACTATCAAGTTAGCCGAGAGAACAAAAAAGGGATGGTTAGTGGTTGCTCATATGTGACGTATGTCCAAGAGACTCGACTGAAGAAGGTTTGTACCTCAGCCCTACGTTCGATTTTAAGATTATTTGTCGGGTAACTGCGCCGTATTTCATTCAGTGTGGTGTCCAGTATATCGTTCATCCGCCTAATTGATTTAGATGATTGCGAAGATTTCTCATTGTTTCACCGGGATGAAGTTTGGTAAGGTGTTTCATATTAGAATTCCTCATAACCGTCTATTTCTTGTTACTCAGTGTCATCATATGACCTCGGTAGTTCCTTTTATTTTGTTGATTATGAAGTGTCGGGAGACCAACACATAGGAGTTCGCTGTGATCTAGGACTTGTTCCTTACATTCTCCAAGTTGAATTCCTCTTCACCGCCTCGTATGACGTGTTGCTGTTGCTGCAATCAGGTTTCTACATTAATATTGAATTTCGAGAACTGACTTAATGTTTGCTCAATTCTGACTTTCTCATCACTTACATAAATGACATCTATAACATTTATTACTGCCAAGGTAATATTTTTTTAGGTTTTCACAGTAAGGCAGTTTTACTTGTTTTTCTTCAATAGGCCTGATTGAATAGCGTGAAAATACTCAGAATCCTACACTATTGCCTAGGATCTTCAAGTCTAGCGGTAAGTCGTAATCTAATAGTCCGTTAGTCTTTGGGATAATTCACAAATATGTCAACGTCTTCGTAAGTTAGGACCGACCAGTAATTGAATAGCAGATATAAGTTCATCTTAGATTCTCGGAAACATTTATAGCTGATTGAAGAATGTTATGAGAGACTTGTATCTTAAGATATTTTTACTTAAGCTTTTCATTGTCGTTCTATACAACGTCATCGAAATAAAACATCAACAGTAGGCAATTAATCCATAATCAGTTTCTATCTAACTAACTTTGGTCTTCAAGTTTTTATTGAGTAAAAAGTCTACACTCTTCAAAAACATCTGATCAAATCAGATAAGGCCTTCCTTACGTAATAGGCATGATATGATATGAGTTGTAAACATTAGTTATTATTACCAGATAAATTATACATGATCTACCAATCTAAAATTCATCCGTAATACATACTACTTGCTATAATACTTTACGTAAAATATGATTAATCCAATGATCAGAACTAAGTCATATAGCTTTCTATATCATTAATGAAAACTAAGTCTAAATGCATATTAAAACAAATAAGGAAATCGATCTAAATAGGAAAGAAACAATTCAAGTTCAGTACTTCCAGATTTTCAATGATAGTCAAGCTTAAATCGACTTGTAAATTTAACTATGAACATTGAAGTTACAGCCAAAAAGAACTAATCAATATGTATTTCCACCCCCTACATTTGCTTATCTATACAAAAAGAAATAACTATCCTATCCTGAATATAAAAAAATGCAGTTGAATGAAAGAAAACAAAACAAAACAAAAGAAGAATGGAACTACCACAAGTTAGTGCATATATATATATATATATATATATATATATATATATATATATATATATATATATATATATATATATATATATATATATATATATGGACATATGAACAAAATATCTTCACATTACTTGGTTGTTGTTTTTACTTACTTTATCAAAACAAAATGGAGGGAATTTCAAACAGTTTATAAAGAAATCAACCTTATTTTAACATTGAACAAAATAGGATTTTATTGTATTCATTGAATATAAGCATTATATATTGATATGTAAATGTAAGTAATAAAGGAAAAGTGAAGTGAAAGGATGATAAGAGAAAGTATATATATATATATATATATATATATATATATATATATATATCTTTACACAAAAGATTTATACAAGAAAAAAGAGTAATAGTAAAACACTAGATCATTTCTACAAATTAGGAAATCATTTTTTCAATAAAAACCTATCATCATTCAATAACTTGACATGGATACTATTTCTGTAAGAACGGAGCTGATGGTCTAGCTTCAGTTGACTCATGATCTCAACTATTGAAATTACTACTACTATCCACAAAAACCCTTCTGATATACACATTATGATAGTTCTATTATTATATTCTACTATTTTAATTGGTTTAAACTATCCGCTAGAATGTACATTATAATGTCTAATTGTTTAATAATGAAAAATACAATAGATCATACTTTGAATATACATATATGTATATGAAAATAAAAATATTCCTATTATTCAATTACAATGCTCCATTAGGAGGAGTAACAGGCATAAGTAAGTAACATCACATTACAATGCTCCACATCAGGAGTAACAGGCATAAGTAACTAACATCAAATTACAATGCTCCATTAGGAGTAACAGGAGTAAGTAAGTAAGTAAGTAACATTAAATGACGATACATAATTACAAATCATATCCTTATCAATTGTAAATATTGAATATATAGAATAATATCCATCTTATTAAAAATATTAAACAAATCATAGATATTGATAATTTAATACGTTTCTTTGATAAATTATAATCAGGACAATATGGACAAGCAAAACTACCACATACATTACAAATATTATTTGTATATAATGAAACAACATTATATAATGAATTATTATAACGACCTGTAAATATAAATAAATGAATAACAGAAAAAGAAATGATGATAATATTCCAAGTAAACTATAATTGTTACTTCCCTTGATATTGTTTTACTTGAATCTTCCCATTGATGTTTAGGACTGTATTTGAAGCGGACGGTACTGGGTTCGACTCCCAGAGTAAACATAAACTCAAGAATGCAGGTACATCCAGCTGACGAGTCCCAAACAGGACGAAACGTGCGTCCTGGATTTCAATGCTAGCCACTATCCATCTTTGTTTATAATGCTTGTAAATTAAGGCAATATCGAGGCAATACGCACAGTATGCACATATGCCAATAAGAGACTGATCAAGTGCAATCCTAAACATCAATGGGAAGATTTAAGTAAAACAATATCAAGTGAACTAAACTTCACCCCATTGCACAAGCAAGTGGCTATCAGGACTCAGTAGCTAAGTGGACAACGTGATAGCGTTTGAAGCGAACAGTACTGAGTTCTTATCCTGGAGTGTACATCAATTCAAGAATGCAGGTACATCCAGCTGACGAGTCCCAAGTAAGAAGAAACGCGCGTCGAACTGGATTCCACTGCTAGCCACTTTCCATCTTTGCTTATAATAGTTACTTTTAAGAATAATAAAGTAAACACGAACATTTATTTTAATTATTGAGTTGCTTAAGAAGTGAAAAATTTTTTAAATATTGAAATAAAGAACAAGTACTAACAGACTGAAAAGAAAGACACCTGATCAAGATACTAAAGAAAAACGATCTTAACAAGTATGAGAACTACAGAGGTATCACTCTTTTTTTAATACCAAGAAAAGTCTTCAACAGAGTATTGTTAAACAGAATGAAGGACTCAGTGAACACGCCCAACTTTGATATGAACAGGCTGGATTCCATAAGGACCGATCGTGTACAGACTAAAATGCAACATTATGGATCATTGTGGAACAATCAATTGAGTGAAATTTATCAATCTACATCAACTTCATTGACTATGAGAAAGCATTTGATAGCGTAGACAGGACAACACTATCAACAACAACCTACTGTGCGAGAGAACAAACCAGATCCCAGCGGAGGAATAAATCAGGAAAGAGCGTTGGAAGTGGATAGGACACACATTGAGGAAAGCACCCGACTGCACCACATGGCAAGCCCTCACTTGAAATCCCCAAGGTCAAAGGAAAACAGGAAGACCAAAGAATACATTACGCCGACAAATGGAGACAGACATGAGAAGAATGAATAACGATTGGATAGAGATAGAAAGGAAGGCCCAGGATAGAGTGAGTTGAAGAATGCTGGTCGGCGGCCTATGCTCCATTGGGAGTAACAGGTGTAAGTAAGTGAGTAATTAGTTTAGTGACTAACTATGACGTTTAAGTGAACTTTTCTGTAATTACAAGCAAAGATGGATAGTGGCTAGCAGTGGAATCCAGGACGCGCGTTTCGTCCTATTTGGGACTCGTCAGCTGGATGTACCTGCATCTCAGAGTTGATGTTCACTCTGGGAGTCGAACCCAGTACCGTCCGCTTCAAACGCCATCGCGTTATCCACTTAGCTACTGAGTCCTGATAGCCACGTGCTTGTGCAATGGGGTGAAGTTTAATTCACTTGATATTGTTTTACTTGCCAATAAGAGACTGATCAATTGCAGT